AAAATTTCTCATCCAAGTCTAACCCTAAAATAAAGTGGCTCACAAAATATTTTTAAAGTATCCCTTAAAAATTTGAGAAAAAATCTTTTTTATGGGCTGCAATAAAGATAAAAATGCTTGCTTGCTTGCTGTTACAATACCTTATGTGCCGGGGTTTTTAACGGCTTCTCCTCTTTGATCGACATGGCCAGAAACTGCGCTTCATTCATGATCATATCCCAGTTTGTAGTTCTACAAATAAAAAACTGGTTACCAAAAAATTTGTTTTTCCAAAATTATCAGGATATGGGACCTGGGACAGTCCACAGAAAAAGAAGAAGTAATGACTAGAATAATAAAAGTAGAATTGTTCTGTACTGCATTACCTGTACACAATTTCAAAAAAATCATATAATAAATTGTATATAAAATTAGTCTTGCATATAAACAAAGTTTATTTAATGTCTCAGGGTGAATTTTGAAAGTTAAAATATCAGACACCACCTAATTTTTTTGTTCAAAAGCAAAAAATAAAGATGTGTTTGGGGTTGGTAAAATATCAGTAACCTGCCTGTTTATAGGACTTTTCTCTCCACTAAAAACATCATCATCATCAGAGATCAGACTGAAGCCTAATAACATTTAAATAACTAAACTAATAAAAACTGATAATTAATCAACCTATAAAATCTTGGGGAAACGCATCACTGTATTTATCGTAAGACATAAGAAATAAAACCAAAGGCTGGCTCCTCGAAATTCGTGACAAAATAGGTATTGCATATATTCTCTTTCCCTAATTCTTGTCGTAAGACTTTATGAGGTACAAAAACAGTGCTTATGATCCAGATCTGTTTGAATTGAAACATTTTAAAATTAAAATGGATATTTAGCACTGCAAAATGAAAATATCTGATTTTATTGTAAACTAGCTGAAGGGCCCGGCGTTGCCCTTCAGCCTATAACTCACCCCGATCACCCATGAGTGTCCACAAAAAAATTCAGCCCAATCAGTCCAGCCGTCTGGCCGGCTGTACGCAACATATATAAGAATTTCTTGTTTAATCATTTAGATAGAAGATTATGTTAGTTAAATATCAAGTATACACAATGTACAGTTTTAATATATTTACCTGAAGGTGTCGCTGCATGACTTATTTTTGAGATATTCTCATTAAATCTGAGGATTGAAGGTTTATATAACAAAAGGTATTTCAATTCATTTAACAAAGCGTCAATATTTCCATGTATTATCCTCTCAGAGAACATATAATAGGAAGTTTATCCCTCGACCTTCCTGTTTAGAAACAATATGTCATGTTCTGTAGAGTAGTTGACGATTTATAAAATACCTAACTAGCACTATAACCACATTATATCCAATGTCTATTTATAATTATATGTTTTTAAGATTTTTTTGCTGATCTAGGGTGGGGGGNTTTTGCTTCAAAATTCTCAATTTCCCCCTAAAATAATTTATTTTCTTCATTTTGGCAAACCCCCGCGATAACATGATAACATTGGAAGAGGGTGTATATGGTGTATAACCCCTGAATCGTTTATCAAAGATGTAATACTGTTTCAGCTCTAAACCATCCTGCTGGTGGAGGTGAGGGACTGCCCCAGGGAGATGTGTGAGGATGTGAAGGGTTGAGTAGAACAGTTTGGTTTACTGCTAGAGAATTGACTATCCAGGGTGATATGTTTACTCGGCTCAAGGCTCTCAGTACTTGACTGGGAGTTATCAAACTGAACCAGGACTCCTGAAATATTCTTTCTATCAAACTGAACCAGGACTCCTGAAATATTCTTTCTATCAAACTGAACCAGGACTCCTGAAATATACTTTCTATCAAACTGAACCAGGACTCCTGAAATATACTTTCTATCAAACTGAACCAAGACTCCTGAAATAAACTTTCTATCAAACTGAACCAGGACTCCTGAAATATACTTTCAAATAAAATGAACCAGGTCTCCTGAAATATACTTTCTATCGAACTGAACCAGGACTCCTGAAATATACTTTCTATCAAACTGAACCAGAACTCTTGAAATAAACTTTCTATCAAATTGAACCAGGACTCCTAAAATATATTTCTAATAAACTGAACCAGTACTCCTGAATTATACTTTCAATTAAATTGAACCAAGACTCCTAAAATATATTTTTTTATATTATACATTCCTACAAATGTATTTCACTATCAACTGAACCAGTGTCCGAATTTAATGAATTTGAGCCGCGTCTTAAATCCGCCGAAAACCGGCTTCAATTTACCACCGCTTAAATCTTGAAACATTGATTACAAGTGAAACCAACTATATATGAGCCGCGGCTTAAATTTAAGCCGCCGCTCAAATTCTTTAAATTCGGCCTCAGGACTTGTAAAATATACTTTTTATTAAACTATTTTTTCAACAAAAAAAAATTGGGGGGAACGAAGTTTAATCTCATCCAAATATCAGTTGTCAATTTTCAATGAATTTTCTCGTTGTTTCTGAATAAAGAGGATGTCAATAAAAGCGTCAAAATAAAAACGTTTAACTACAAATTCATGCCATAAAAAAAGGTAAACCTGTGTCAACAACGGACTCTGTTTCTGAGTTGTCAATCCTAGAATGGGAAGGAAGATTAAGAACTCCGAAAGTATCATCATCTTCGGACAAGGTTTTAGGGAGCGCATAAAAACTTCGTCGTTCCTACACACACAAAAATATCAAATCATTTCCATCAAAGATATCAAATTCTTTTAGCATTATGAAAAAATTAAAACAGTAGGAAATTAGAAGCAACATTTTTTTAAGAAAAAAGTTGAAAAAAACAATTAAGTGTTAACCCTATCTCTGCTGGGGTACTTGAAAACCAGGATATGCTAGGGGGGGGTCAATTTGACTCCCCCCCACCCTCTAAATCCCATGTTTGATGTCCAAATGTGACAAATGATACATTATTGGAAAGCTCTTGTGCTCTACTTTTAGAATCTGCAAAATTTTTTTTGCAAATTTGCAAAAATTGCTTTTTTTTAACGCAAAAATGTTCACACAAAAATTTGTCCAAAAAATGAAAAATTATACATTTTTGAAAAGCCCTTGACCATGCCATTTCAAATATGCAAATTTTTTTCCAAATTTTAAATAACCTGATTTTTAATCAAGAAAAACTAAAAAAGTGCAAATTTCCTTTGAAAGGTTGTTTGCAAAAAATCGCAAAACTTTGCAATTCGTTTCTTTATGTAAAAGGCTTCCCAAAAAGCTAAATTTTATCAAAATCTGACAAGTGGAAGTGAGTCAAAACAAAGATTTAGTTTGTTACAGGAAAAAGCAGTCATTCAGGCAGTGTGCCTGAGGGCTCAGGCAGTTAGTATTAAAGCCCGGTTTTAGGCCTAAAGGGAGGGCTTTGGGTATGTAAGAAAAGTCAGAAAATTTCAACAGCCTCAGACCAATACTTTTTGAGTTATGTAAAAAAAACTACAGGGGGGAGGGTTGAACCATTCAACGCTTTTATGTAATGAAAGACAAAAAATCACTTAAAAGAATTTCAATTTTCTTTAAGTGAGACCGGAAAAATTTCATATACAATTAACAAACTAAAGAGGAAACTTAATTAGAAAAAAGTCATCCCATTCAAATGGGATTTAAACACTTAATACGGAGAGAAAATATATATAACTATTTGAATAACACTAAATGAGCTAGGAAATCAGTTTCACCATCTTAATGGCGTCTGTATTAGCGATCCCTCGGTAGTAATTTCTGATCTGTTCTGTTATATTGAACCCTAGATTCTGATAAAACAGAATTCCTTCAAGATTATCAGAACTTACGTGCAGGTACATCACCTATCATTTATCCGTTCATTTATTCAGATTTAACTTTAAAAATGGTCAAATCACGTTTTCAGCAACACTAACTTTAAAAAGTTTATCATCGTTTTCTAGTTTATAAGATTACCGATGTTTATCGTTTTGGTTATTAATCCCTTTTTTCTTTGCTCAAATCCTTAATTTTATGGATTTTTATTCTTTACTTTGTTACTTGTTTCTTGATTTGTTTTATCGAAATAAAAAGCGAAGAGCTTTGCTGAAACTGCTGGACACTGCTGGACCAAATTGGCTGTTTGTTGAGGGAGCCCGTGGGTATCCTGGGGGTGAATTAGGCTAAACAATTTTTATAAATTTGAAATTCCACGGGTAACGCCGGGCACTTCAGCTAAACTCACAATGTCATACAAAGCGCAGTTAAACAACGTGAGTAACTATGACTAGGAATATTAATATAAACTTAGACAACGCCTTAAAGCTTGAATAAGATTAGGGTGTCCCACATCATATCGGATCTTATTATAGCTTTAAATTGCGATTGACGGGACTAATATGAAATTTAAAAATATCAAATAATTAAAAAATTGTTCATCGCCAATATAAAGATTTGCATTCAGAGAATACCAAGTTTTAGAGTATTGTGTGCGTATTTCGGCGTTAAAGCTTGGAGATAGTCTAATATGGTATGGGACACTCTGTATCAAATTGTTAAAATAAATGAGGCCGGTTCCTTAGTCTAATATGATATGGGACACTCTGTATCAAATTTTTATAATAAATGAGGCCGGTTCCTTAGTCTAATATGGTATGGGACACTCTGTATCAAATTTTTATAAAAAATGACCGGTTCCTTAGATTTGCACTGTTTGATGAAGAGATTGAGAAGTGCTGAGCCAAACCCCTTTCTTCTAAATATTTCAGAAATCTTTTTTACAAAAACCAGAGCTGCTTTTTTTCTCTTGAAAAAAGTCTAGAAATTGCCAAAATTTGTTCTATTGCGCACTTGTACATAGTGCGGAAAAATAAATGGACATAAAATACCACCATATTAAAAGAATTTAAGAGAAACTATTGACCTGTGGAGGAGCATAACTCCTAAAGTGAGAAGATGAGACCCAGCTTCCTAAATAATTAGGTTTGCTTTAACGAATTTAGCGAAATTGGTTTATTCAAAATCAGTGGCTTAAGCGCTCACCCGGTTTTTTAACCACTTGACGGTTCAACCGTAGCCACTGGACAACCTCTTTGAACTTTTTGAACATTTTTTTAAACCTTTTTAATTTTATTATTTAATGTTATGTCTCGCTTAAATAAAAACATTTGATTTAAATTGATAACAGAACATCCACATATATAACCTTTAGTCTAAAAGTTTAGAATGTTGATATTGAATTTAGTCGCTGAGATTTAGCGCCATCCACCACAAAGTTTTGCCCATAGGAGAGTGAAAATTATGATTAAATTTTTCAATATTTTTTTACCTCCTCTCTCCACACCACACAACCAACACATCTCCCTTCAACCTCAGCCAAAAATGCGACATTACTGCCCTAAAGGATAAGTTTCGTTTACCTCAATTTAAAAAACCAATGACACGACAAGGAAATAGCAGTAGTGGTATTCGTAGGGCACGGTTTGGTCATATGGCCTTAAGCCGTTCTAATAGTCTTTAAGATTTTATCTGCATAAGAACTGAGTTTTTGCCACAAACTCAAATTTTCTTATCCCTATGGCGTATATCTTTGCAAAGCGATGGTTTAAACTAAGAATGTTTGATCTAACTAACAGAATTCACAGTTTGAACTATCTAAGGTCCACGAAAATGACATTAGGTTGCAAAGATATCAGAATTACAAATCAGATTTTGTGGTAAAGACTTAATTCCTTTGTAGATGATGTAGCGAGGGGAGGAAGGCCAACCACATCAATCTCTAGTCCGAACCACATTCTCCTCATTTTCTCGTCCGAACCACCTCGAAATGCTCGTCCTTTCAATATTATTTTTTTTAAGTGTCCGATCCTTGAAAATAAATACATTTTTTGAAAATATGGCGACGTTAGGGCATAGATGAAATATAAAATTTTTCCAAATGAATTTTAGATTTGTGTAAAAATGAAAATGCTCCATAAATGATGTTCTACAAAAAAGCGTCTGTATCAAGAGCCCTTTCTTTCGCGGAAAATGCCGCAAAACATTTTCAAACTCGATGTATACAACTTTTTGTAATATTCCAGCTGAAATTGGGTTAAAGATATGACTTACAATTTTTATAAGATAAAATACTGTTTGAATTCATAGGGTTGTGACCAATTAATTGAAGCAAATGATTTGAGTAATATAAATTGAACATTATGTTTTCTATAATTTTAAGCATGCGGGCAGAAGTGATCTCTTAGTAGGGACAACAAATCTACCTTATTTGTAAATAAATCAGAAATCAGTGAATATTTTGTATGGGTTGAAATGGAAAGACCATGTTCACGCGAATTCTTTGATATAAATTTTTATTTGTGAAAGTTATCCATTTTGGAGGCAGAAGAGATTCAATTTTTAACCTAAATAATGTTTGACATCATTCTTGTAGATTTGAAGATTCCAACATCTCAAAATCCATGGAAAACTTTATTCTAGTCATGCTTTATGCCCTAACGTCGCCATATTTTTTAAAAATGTATTTATTTTCAAGGATCAGACACTTCAAAAAAATAATATTGAAAGGACGAGGATTTCGAGGTGGTTCGGACGAGAAAATGAGGAGAATGTGGTTCGGACTAGAGATTGATGTGGTTGGCCTTCCTCCCCTCATGTAGCTGTGTTATATTAGATGACCACAGATTCCAATAAATAACAATAGAACTGGAAAACTATTTTTAAAACAACATATTTTCAAGCATGTGAAACATAGTTTAAAAGTCTATAAATGATGGGGCAATTTTCTTATTGGACTTTATGAAGGCACAACACAAATACTGTGAACTTCACGTTTCGACTTTAAAAATATTGCTTTTATGAAAGGGGGGGGGGGCAATTCGACGCTTTTTGACACTAAATTTTGTACAGGCTGCGTTTGGTTCTAATAATTGAGATAGAAGGCTAAAATTTTGCATGCAGCCTCTTATTGAAGTCATCTACATAGATCACAAAAAAAATTTGAGATCAGAGGTCATTGACTTACATTTTGACCTCAATGAAAACACCACTTTTTCACTCAAATTCATTTATTATAAGCTAATCAAACATGTTTTCATACTTTTTTTACTAACACTGATATAGACACATATATCCGACCTCCATTTTGACTCCCTTCGATAATGACCTCCAATAATGGATTTGTAGAATGCTGATGGATATCTCACAGGAAGGTTATATAAATATATTTACCGATATAATGGATTTGAAGAATGATGGTGGATATCTGACAGGAAGGGTTGAAAGGATCACAACTTCAAGTCTGTTAATGTTATCCTGAACAGTGAACATTGCTGTATATTAAAGGGACCATTGTATTTTCAAGTTATTCTTCATTCAAACAAGACCATGTCTGACATGAAAAGGTTGATCTTTATCTGATCTAAAATTAGCTTGATTGATCAGTGTTTAATTCTGACAATTTTCTCCAATGCTTAAGTAGCTAGCTTAACTCCGCAAGTCTTCTTTAAAGAGAAACCACAAATATCAAGATATGAGAAACAGAATATCTCCTTAAAAAAATATCCCCCTTAAAACATAGAATATATATTATACAGGGCGTCCCACATCAGATTGGATCGTGTTAAAGCTTTAAATCGCTATTTCCGGAACTAATCAGAAAATCTTGAAAGAATCATTTGTAAAATGTATTTTACTGATATAAAGATTTGCATGCAGATTTAATGGTTTTTATTTAGTATTATATGCGTATTTTGGCGTTAAAGCTTGGAGATAATCTTATTTGATATGGGACGCTCTGTACAAATAGAATTATATCTTTGGAAACTTAAGTAATAAAGACGGATTCCCAGTAGGATAATTAATAGGTTTTTATTCTATTTTTTAAAATAATAATCTGCATTTGTTTAATGTGTATACATTTACTGACTGGTTTTAATTAGAATTGCCTAGGATAAAAATTGATCCAGGTTTTTTAATACTACTATAATTACTTTCATCATTTTAACAATTTGTTACGATAAAGCCTATACCTTGTTGACCCGAACCAGATCTAGTTTCTTTTCATACATTTTCTTCTGAAAAATAGATTTAAAAACTTCAAATGTCTAGACATAAAACAATAAAACCTGAGGCATAGCTCCTATCAAAAACTTCAAAGGATACTAAACCATTTGAATTAAATAATTTACAGTGCGAATGTTTAAGGGCCATAAACATATGGTTTACATACATCACAGTTGTAGGAATTGTTATTGAATGTTTGCTTTCAATTTAATTCCAGTCGGGATTGTTCCGAACAGATTTATAATCTGAAGGGATCCTTGTTTGAACAAATATTATCTTTGAACTCTGAAAGGATGGAAAGAACATGGTACAGATCTGATCCTCTGTAAGGATTGTTTATGAACAGATCTGATCCTCTGTAGGGATTGTTTATGAACAGATCTGATCCTCTGTAGGGATTGTTGATGAACAGATCTGATGCTCTGTAGGGAATGTTTATGAACAGATCTGATCCTCTGTAGGGATTGTTTATGAACAGATCTGATCCTCTGTAGGGATTGTTTATGAACAGATCTGATCCTCTGAAGGGATTGATTGAACATGGAACAGATCTGATCCTCTGTATGGATGGAAAGAACATGGAACAGACCTGACCCTCTAGAGGGATTGTTGTTAGACAAATGTCAACAATGGATCAGAATGCGAAGGGATTGTTCATGAAAAGATTTAAACATCTGCTAGAACACAGAGATGCATCCATACAAACCTCGTTCAATCCATCACAAGAAAAGGTACTAGACACCCTTCAAACCATTTTATTCATTTCAAAAAAAAGAAAAAAAATTTTAATTTCATTATTTTTAAATTGGTAATACAAAAATAAGGGGCATTTTAGACAAATTAAGGACAGTTTACTAGTTAACAAAGTTATAAAAAAAAACTTAGTCATATTTCATATATTAAAACACAACCAGACAAGTGAGGTTGGCATCGACCTTGGAACACAACCTACATTGCATTGACTGTAGGTTGAATATTAATAAAAATAATAATATAAATTTTGATCCGATCAAAAATGTTTTAGCATGCAAATTCTTCCCCAATTGTTCAAGCAAAACTGTCTTTGAAACTTTTTATTAATTAAACTGTCATGTTCAGTAGGAATACCCTGTGAAACTGTCATGTTCAGTAGGAATACCCTGTGAAACTAACATGTTCAGTAGGAATACCCTGTGAAACTAACATGTTCAGTAGACATACACTGTGAAACTATCATGTTCAGTAGGAATACCCTGTGAAACTAACATGTTCAGTAGAAACACCCTATGAAACTATCATGTTCAGTAGGAATGTCCTTAACATGTTCAGTAGGAATACCGTGTAAAACTATCATGTTCAGTAGGAATACCGTGTAAAACTATCATGTTTAGTAGGAATACCGTGTAAAACTATCATGTTTAGTAGGAATACCCTGTGAAACTGTCATGTTTAGTAGGAATACCCTGTATAGTGTATACCATCACATACATTAGACGGTTGGGGGTGGGGGAAAAGGGTAAGAATATTTAATTCAAAATGAATAGTTATGTTCCTGGATAAGCTAAGCTTGACAAGTGCCCTGGCTACATTGTTCCAAACTGGTTTGCTGCAAGGGCAATGCATACCGGAATCTAAGAGATTAAAACAAAGGTTTAAGGTTGATATGCATATTTTTCACTACCCACATTTCTAATATTTATAATTTATGAATGGAAAAAATATTTCTAACTAAAAGAAGATTGGAAAAGATTTGGATTTCTTCAAGGAAAAGTAAAATCACTTCTGAAATGACAGTCTCCTACCTAAATATGCGAGAAGCTGAGGGAAAAGATCTTCTGGGTCGTAGTTGATCCTTAGTTTGACCACTGTGCTCGCAGATATCTCTAGCAGGGAAGATACAGGTTCAAGCTTGTTACTCAGTACTCTAGTTGATGCTTCATCCATAGGGTTGTTTGATAACTCCAGAGAATCTAATCTAAACAGAACTTGTTAGATAACTCCAGAGAATCTGATCTAAACAGAAATTGTTAGATAACTCCAGAGAACCTAATCTAAACAGAACTTGTTTTGATATCTACAGAGTATCTAATCTGAACAAAGATGAAAACTTTAGAATGGGATATCCTTAATCACAATTGCTTAATCTGAGTATCCAATGTACATCATTTTGATTTTCTTCTTAATCCTTTCTTTTTAAATATCACTACTATATTAAAGTTACGTTTAATAACAAATACAGATGTGATGCTACATCAATTGGACTAATAAAGATTGAACAATAACGTTTAATTGTTAAGTCAACTGTTCACAACCCGGTTTTCAGTCCATTTGAACATTAGAGCATTGGAACAAAATAAAAATTGATCACGTTTGAACATTACTCCAAACTCACGTTGGTTCAATCGATATGACCTCAAAAGTATAGGCAAATCTAAAACCGGTTTTTTAAAATTAAGAGCTCTTCTTTCCCGTCTCTGCATTTAAATTTCCCGGCTTCTGATATGCCACTCTGATTAGTTAATTTTTTACGCTTTTCAGGATACAAACACACGATTAGGTTAGTCTCGAAATTAAGAAAAAGAATGGATCAAGCACTGATCTTGATATCCTACATTTTAATGTTTTCAGCTCATAACTTATTAGATAACTCCAAAAGGGAATCTAACATAAAATGTATGAATAAGGAAGGCACTTCGAAAAATGCTTAGACTCAGAATTTCATCTGGAATTTTTGACAGCTTAAGTCTTCCTCCCCATTGAAATCATCTCTGGATTGTTCAGTAGATTGACCCTGACCCATTTCAAACATCTCAGAACATATGTTGGATATTAACTAAGTAAAAAATCTTAACAAAAATGAACTTAGCTCTACCAATTCTTATTCCTCGATTCGGAATTATTAATTAGTATTAGTATTATTATCCTTAAACCTGTCATTGTATCACGTCCTGTGGTTAGTGGTTATGTTATATTATGCTACAGGGTTGAGCCTGTTCAGTGTTTATTGACAACCTACCTCAGAGAACTGAAACTACCAGGAAGGATCTTGAGATGATTATCACAAACTGACAAATGCTTGAGTAGTCTCAACTTCCCCAATGAGGGAGGGAGGAGGGTTAACTCGTTCTTGTTCAAACTCAAGGTTACAAGAGTCCTCAGCTGACAGAAATAGTTTGGTAACAGTTTAATTTTGTTTCCATTTAGATTAAGAAGTTTCAATGATTTTGCCATTAAACCAGTGCAGAAACCTCTGATTACCATTGACATTAATAAACTAAAAATTAACTAAATGTGATTAAGCCTTTAATTAATGAAAAATAACTGACACGTGTATTAGTCATCTTTCATTGGTTGATTTGTTTTTCCTTTTATTGGATTTTCAAAGAAATTGACTTAATTTTTTGAAACAAAGAGGGGGGGGGCTGCTTTAGAAAATATGTAGTTCAAACCCTTGAATTAAAAATAAAATGTCCAATGTCCCTTGGTAAACTGGAAATTTGATTATCCGCTAGATTTAGTTGCGTGAGAGATGGAAGAGAATCGAAATTGTCTGGAACCAGCTCAATCTCATTCCCTGCCATATCCAGCTCGGTCAGGTTGACCAGCTTCAGCAGCCTAGAATCTATTCTTGCTAACCTACATAATAGGTAAAGCAATTTATTAAAAAAGCATTTGCTCTTCCTTAAAACAAAAATCAAATTTTTTTCGAATTTACAATTTATTTTTCGCGTATTAAATATTTTACGAAAATTAAAAAAATGTTGACAACATTTTGAAATTCTTAGCATTCATAAACCTTCCCTGGGGTCATGCCAGGTCCGACACAAAATTTGGACCAGATCGGTTCAGCAGTTTTGATGTTTATCGTTTACAAACAAACAGACAGACAAGCAAAATACAAACACATAGTGAAGACATTTCATAAGAAGGCATTGAGCCGGAAATTTTATAAGCAAAAAAAAATGTTCATTTCAAATTAAATCATAGTCATAGTCTAAAATTATGTTTTTTACTCCAAAGCTTACAAGATTTTGAAAATATATTCCCTTGCTAAAAAATCCCATACTTTCAGATCCCAATCCAAAGAGATGAAAGACTCTAGAAGAAGATACTGTGCAAAGAGTCAAAGAGTTTTATCTAATTTCTATCTAATTTCTTCACTGTAAATTGTTTTATGATAGCCTCATGGTGCAAATAAACAGTACAGACATTTATAAAAATCTTTGATCTGTTCAGATGCAAAATTTCAGCAAAATCTGTGACATGCCGTCCATAGGTGGTTGACTTGACATGGAATGACCCCTATACCCCCTTTCATTTTTCCCTTTAAAATCAAACTATTAAGAGAATTGGGTCTGTGTACACTCTAAATTAACACTTCACAATTACTGTGTTTCATGTTTATTTGACCATTTAAGATAAACATCAAGCTGAGTCTAGCAGTCGTATTCGTACTACAAACTTTTTTGGGTCCCACTGTCTGAAACTAACTTGCAAAACTGTCCCCATGAATAATGATACCTGATATCATTAATCCTGACGCTGGTGAGTGTCTGAGGAAACCCTTCTTTAACCGGATAATCTCCTCGTTTAGTAACATGAAGTCTGCGTTTAGGTCCAGATATCTTAATACAGGATCATTTTAATTTTAAATCCTTTCAGAAAAAAAACAACTTGGAATAAATATCATATTTTATACACTGTAAAATTAAATCTGAAGATAGCTACAAATATTCATTATTTAAATAGTTGTAACATCAAAAATGTTGTACCCTCTCTTATAAACTCAACCTGTTTACTTGACAGGGGTTGCAAGGAGGACAGGGTTAGTTTCTACCCATCCTACTAGAGAACTAGTTTAAATTCTACCTGTTTACTTGACAGGGGTTGCAAGGAGGACAGGGTTAGTTTCTACCCATCCTACTAGAGAACTAGTTTAAATTATACCTGTTTACTGGACAGGGGTTGCAAGGAGGACAGGGTTAGTTTCTCAACATTCTGCCAGAGCCATAGTTTAAATTATACCTGTTTACAAGACAGTGGTTGTAAGGAGGACAGGGTTAGTTTCTCCACATCCTACTAGGGAACTAAAAATTATACCTGTTTACAAGACAGTGGTTGTAAGGAGGACAGGGTTAGTTTCTACCCATCCTACTAGAAAACTAGTTTAAATTCTACCTGTTTACTAGACAAGGGTTGTAAGGAGGACAGGTTTAGTTTCTCCACATCCTACTAGAGAACTAGTTTAAATTATACCTGTTTACTAAACAGTGGTTGTAAGGAGGACAGGGTTAGTTTATACCAATCCAACTAGAGAACTAGTTTAAATTATACCTGTTTACTAAACAGGGGTTGTAAGGAGGACAGGGTTAGTTTCTCCACATCCTACTAGAGAACTAGTTTAAATTCTACCTGTTTACTAGACAAGGGTTGCAATGAGGACAGGGTTAGTTTCTCCACATCCTACTAGAGCAATAATTTAAATTCTACCTGTTTACAAGACAGGGGTTGCAAGGAGGATAAGGTTAGTTTCTCCACATCCTACTAGTAAACTAGTTTAAATTCTACCTGTTTACTAGACAGGGGTTGCAAGGAGGACAGGTTTAGTTTCTCCACATCCTACTAGAGCACTAGTTTAAATTCTACCTGTTTACTAGACAAGGGTTGCAAGGAGGACGGGTTTAGTTTCTCCACATCCTGTCTGAGAACTAGTTTAAATTCTACCTGTTTACTAGACCGGGGTTGCAAGGAGGATAAGGTTAGCTTCTCCACATCCTACTAGAGCGCTAGTTTAAATTCTACCTGTTTACTAGACAAGGGTTGCAAGGAGGACAGGTTTAGTTTCTCCACATCCTGTCTGAGAACTAGTTTAAATTCTACCTGTTTACTAGACAGGGGTTGCAAGGAGGACAGGGTTAGTTTCTCCACATCCTGTCCCGTTAAGACCTTCTTCAGCACTGACAAGAAGCTCTTTACTTCTATTACGTCTCCTAACATGATGAAATCAATTTTCTTGTTTTTTGTTATTAAAGTTACCTTCAATTAGTTTCAAATCAGCCGCCGATTTCTTTGATTTATAATTTTTACGTAGAAATCTATAACATGGAGAAAAAAATTAAGGAGCGAAAATTGGTTTTCAGCTAAATTCATATTAAAAGCAATAAGTTTAGTTATTAACTACTAGTTAAACTAATTCTGGATAATTTAACAACATCTCAAGTGTGTCCGGAGCCTAGTGTGCACAAGAGAAGTTGTTCAACAGCACAGTTTAACTACTTCTCGCGCTTTATTATTTCCGAATTCACAATAAATATTTACCTTTGATACATATATCATGGTCAGGTTCCTTTAAGCGTATTGTCGTCTTCCCTTCGTTTATCAGCTTCGTGAATACTGTTTGGATATTGTTCATTATCATGTACTTTGTGCCCTGAAACTTTTATTCATCTAAATCTAATTCTTTTCAAAACATCAACACTTAAAAAAATATTTTTTTTAAGTTAAAGAGAAAGTAAAGTCGATAAAATATTAAGTGACCTTACATTCAAGATTTAAATCTTCCCTTCAAAAAGGTACCATTTTAACCTTAATATAAGGGAAAATGAAGAAGATATCGACGTTTTTTAGTTTGAAATCCTGTCAATATCCTTCTTGCCTGATCTCATCCGCATTAATTAGCATTTCAATCGAAACTACAAATTTCAGATAGAAAACATTGATATCTCCATCTCTTAGGAAGATGTTTATATGAGTCGAGCATGTGACACTTAATTTGTAACACTTGCTAATGACCTTCTAACGTATAAATAATGCTTTAAACCCTATTTTTATAATAATATGTGTTTATATTCACCTGTTTGTTCTGCGCATTTGTGATCATAATAAACAATTCATGTTTTCCATCAGGAAGAGGTTTTTTCCCTATAGCGAGATGAGATCTAACCTTCTTACCTATACCCTTAAAAATAAAAATATTAAACTACAGGGCTACCTTTAATTTCGACCCCAATGAGGTCTTTTATAAATCTTTGATTTTACGATCTGATTTTTTAATTCGGTATTTAGCTAGTGTTGTCCTTTAAGAAAAAAAGTGCTGATTTGAAAAAAACTGGAGATAAAAAATGTCTAGCATATTTTTGTGCGATGAGCCTTACATAGATTAGGGAGTATTCAACAATCTTTTACAAGTTGACAGAAGAGATTTAGTTTAAGTGTCAAAAGAAATTTGAAGATTTTTAATGTTATTTTGCTCCATATTTTCCGGGTCCGGCTCCTATGCCCTAAACCCATGAAATTATACCTTCATATTGTGGCACGCTAGGGATCTATTTACTACCTCAACTTCAGCATAGAGTTTCATTTTTCTATAATATAAAAACCCAAATTAAATATGATCAATTATTTCTTCAATAAAAGCTTATTTTTATAAATAAACACACTATCCCAAATCACAGTAAACATAGTTAATCAATAATTACTACAATATTTAGATACATTATCAAGTGTCAATTGCAGAAACGAGTAAGTTTTTTAATTGCCCCTTCTTTTAACCCCTATTGGACTAGGAAGACCAAATGCAGTACTCCTTGGGTTCGGAATCGCCGGTGTAGAGCTAACCAACCCAACAGGAATCATCGGTGAGGGAGCTGCGTATTGAAACCTGGAGCAGGGGTTCATCTAGAGATGTGGCAGGTACAAGACTTCTCTTTGTGCCAGATATTTTTGACTAAGATACAATTTGTGCCAGATTTTTTGAATTGAGAAAATATTTTTGGTATATTTTGTGGCAATTTGTGGCAGATTCTACGGACTAAGATACTAGTTGTGGAAGAATTTTTAACTAGGATACTATTTGAAGCAGAATTTTCGGAATAAGATACTTTTTGTTTCAGATTTTATGAACTAAGATAATTTGTGTTTAAATGTTGATTTGTGGCATTATAATGGGGTGAAATTGTGTAAAATGTTTATCAAGATTAATCCTAGATGAACCCCTGACCTAGATGATCCGACCCCTGCAGGAGTTGCCAAAGATCTCCTCGGAGTTGCTAAACCTGAGGGAGCTAGTAATCTTGAACCTGGAGTGCTTGATACTCCAGCAGTAGATGGTGGAGGTATTCTTGAATTAGGAGTAGCAGGTAACCTGGTACTTGGAGTGCTTGAAAGTCCTTGACCAAATCTTCTGCTAGGAGTTGATTGAAGAGATCCAGACATAACTGGTCTAGCCAGACTGCTTCCTAGTATTCAAATCAAAATACAAAAAACCATTTTTTTTGAAATATTGATCATCAAGATTAAAGACCTAATTCGCCCCCCCCCCCTCTCAAGTAGCAGCTCTTAAACCAACCTTGCCGATGTAGCTTAGGCCTAGGGGCTGGCATACAGCTATTGATTGGTTTCTCTTCTGATACTGACTTTACTCCGGTGACTTCAACCTAGAAATGAAAATTTCAATAACTCCTTGACTTAACTTAAACTATTAACTTTTTTCTATAATAAATAAAGTTTCTGCCATTCTCCTGTTCATTTTTTTCAATAGCGGTCGTATATTGTAAAATATACAACTTAAAAAGATTTCGTTTTCAAATATCTACTTAAAAAATATAATCCTACCTTGATTTTTGACTTTGTGAAGCCAGCACTGGTGTTTAGAGTTAACCCTTTGACGGGTAAAGTTCTTTTCACAGCAGGCATAAAGGCTCCTCAAACAAAAAGATACTTTAGGAAAAACCCTCTAAAATCAACTCTATTTTCTAAATATAAAAAAGTATAATTACCTGTTTTAACTTGGGATTTAGTGTTTGATGCAATGTTTGAAGAGTTCAGACTTGACGAGTTTAGTTTAGAAGGTTTTAGTTTGGAAGAGTTAGGTTTGGAAGGGTTTAGTTTAGAAGAGTTTAGTTTGGAAGAGTTAGGTTTGGAAGGGTTTAGTTTAGAAGAGTTCAGCTTTAGAGTGTTCAATTTTGATGAGTTTAACCTTGCGGAAGGTCTGATCGGTTCAACCACAGAGCCAACCTAAAATTTTAGAAATGAATTATAACTACTTCTTTACAAAATTGTCTAAACGGGCTATTTGTAAATATTGATAAAATTACAATTTTTTAAAGTTCAAACTTCAGAAAATATAACATTGAACATTTAACATTGAACATTTAACATTTTCATTTCAACCCAATTCATTTAAGAAGCCAGGGGTTGTCCAATAGCTCCTAGATCAGGTTGTAGTACGCTATTGGTTATAGTTCCGTCTGACATAGTTTAAACCTGAGAATGATGAATGTAATGTTGTTTCCCACATTACATTACCTTGGGCCTCAGTGGTAAAACTGGAGTAGATTTTTTCAACGAAGTTTTTATTCCATGCTTCTTAGTTTCCTTGGGTTCTTGACTATCTGTCACTTCAATCTTAGGATTTGGAGAAGGATTCCTTGTTTTGAAACTATCAACCTAAAATAAAAGTCATAAATGAGAAAGACCGTCGTGGTAATTTTAAGTGATATTCTTTAATTGGGTAAATGCACGATTCACAACCTAGAAACCTTTTATCATCAAATGAAGTGCAAGATATCATCGTTTTTCTAACTTGGAAAGTGTTTGATTCTAACTATTTCCTTAATATTGTTTCTAAAGGGGATATGCGCGAGGTAGTTAATAAAGAATCACAAATGAATACAATAATATTTCAAATAAAAATTATGGATATGTCATGCATTCTTTATCGGATAAAAGTGTTAAAGGGTACTGTTGTGAATCGTGCGTTTCTTTCTATAAAAGGACGGTCAATTTGATTCATGACTAAACATTAGGTCTACTGTCCCTTTAAATAATAAAATACCTTTTCCAATTTAGTTCTTCCATTGTTTTCTGAGAGAAGAGGAGATAATTTTCTGATACTGGGCTTCCGAACAAGCTGCCGGGGTTTCGAGATTCCAGGCTCGATGTTTTCTTTTGATTTATTATTACTTCCCAAGGGTCTTCTGACGACTGATTTCTAAACATATAATCATGTTCGAATGTTCGAATAATTCCAAAATTGTTCAAGTTCAGAGAAAAAAAAAGGAATTGAAAGATTAACTAAAGAAAGAGGTTATCAAAGCACACTAAATTACCAATAATTAAATTTAAGTTATTTTATCGTTCCTTTTTTACCTTGGGGGTATCTTGACAGATAACATTTTTAAGAAGCATTTTCTCCTTGTTTTCTTCCCTCTCTCCATCTTTACTCGGTAGAACATTGCTGTTCAAAAATAAATCCTTATTGAGGTTCTTTACAGGAGACTGGTCGGCGGAGTTATCAAGGGATTTGTCTCCAGATTTATCTGTAGTTTTGCCAGAGAATTGGTAGGGGGAGAGTTCTAGCAACATATCATCTGGAGGTATCTCCTGCTCATCAGATTAAATCGTTAAAGTAGACAGACAGATTTGCCAGGTTTGTAGGTAGAATTGTGAATTCCGTTGGATCGTTTACAAAATTGTGCCAAATTTTCACCCCGACAAAAGATGTTGGCAAATAACCTGTCAAAAATTAACCAAAAACGATCCAAAAACGAAGATGTTACAAGGATCATTTGAAATCTTATATTATAATTTTCAAAAAACTATATACAACGATTGGCAACACTATTTGTAGAAGGGATCTAAAACTCAATGAAATTGTGCGATCACATGACTCTGGCTTTTGCTTTATCTTAATACAATAAAATCAATATGTGAAATTTTTTTCTATTTTGCCACGATTTTTAGATTAGATTAATCTGCAGTGAGATTTTTAAAACAAAATCGTAATTTTTAAAAATTTATGAAAAACATTTTGTTGTAGGAGAAACAATGATTTTTCAGGATAATTTATTTTATGCAACATGCCAAATAAACTTTCCTTGAAAAAAGTATTTATTTTGAATCTACTTATCTCATTCTTAATCTGCACCAATCTTTTGCGACTGAAATCAAGGTTATGTCTCGAGGACTATATCTGATCTAAGCCAAATAATAAATATTCAATCTTTCCTTGTTAATATCGAACAAGGGACTATCCAGACTTTCACAAGGAGAGAAGTCTCCCAATAGTCCTCCAACTAACACCTAGATTGAAATAAAACAATTGTATGATACTAGCCTTAGAGGGCGCTTCGCGCCCATCTTCTAAATTAATTGTGAACATGTTCTCTTTGTGTACATCGTAAAAAAAAAAAAATAATTCGCGGATTTTCACAAAAAATTTCGTGGATTTTCAAAATTTTAAAAAATTTAATGAAGATAGAATTTTAATGGAGACAAAGATTAGAAATTTTGATCATTCATAAACCTTCCCTGGGGTCCCTAGATGTCCCACAAAAAAATTGAGCCCGATCGGTTCAGCCGTTTTGACGTTTATTGGA